ACAGCAAGAAGTAAATGTTTTGTATCTTTACCTGAAAAGGAGTTTGTCAAAATCGCTCAAAGTTGTCTAAGTTTTGATTTGAAGAAGAAGTTCCAACACAAGGAATTTCCTAATCTTTTCCAATTGAGCACGAATGTGATTACGTATGAACAATTAATAAGAGAAGAAGAACAAATGAAAAATTCTAGCAAGGGGACTTATTATAGAGACCCAAATTTTGATGTTCATACCATTGTATTACGATCAAACCAAAATGTGTTTGGCCAAATTAGTTAAAGGAGGCACGTATACTTGTCCTATAATGGCTAAGCCTAGACCGTCGGGTAAGGATAAGCCTATAAAAGATGAACACATAAAGGCTAGTACGTTCTCGTTCAATGTAACCAAAGCTAACCTTATATTTGATAAATTATATAAGGATAAGCAGATAAAGTTGGGAGATAAGCATAAATTGCCAAGCCCTGAACAAGTTAAGGGTAAAAAATATTGTAAGTGGTATAATGCATGGTCACATTTGACTAACAACTGTTTGGTTTTTCGACATGTGTTACAGGATGCCATTGAATCAGGACAAATTACGTTCGAGGATAAGAGGAAGATGACAGTGGATGAAAATCCTTTTTCATAGCCACTTGGAGTGAACATGGTGACGTCTAGTTTCAAAAACAAGTTACCAAAATTCAAGTTGGTTATAAATAATGGAGAAGAAAACCCTGGACCACATCCAGTGTCTTTGAACGTATCAAAGGGAAGGAGTCCAAAAAGGACGAAGACGTCCTATGTGCAAGATGCAAAAGAGAAGTGAGTGCAAATGTAGAGAAACCATGGATATGGCAAGATCACCATCGCCCTAGTTTTTTCCCAAACGCTCAGCCTGGTAGAGGGTGGGGTGCATCGTTCTATAAGGGACCGCCTTTTGAGAGGTAGTTCAGTCCAGTAAATAATGGGAGAACATTCAGACTGCAACCTCACAAACCAAAGGTATGGCATTCGTTTCAGTATAAGGCTGAAAAGGCTATACCTTTCAACGAGATGACTAGAATCCAACAAAGGCGTTTTCAACGGAACTATGGGCGAATGATGAGACAACAACAGAAAATGCTACGTCCTAAGGCACATAGACTACTCAAGGCAGCCAATCAAAATGTTCTCAAAGATAGTGAAGAGACTGGTACATGCGAACCTATGGAAGAATTGCCATAGACTTCTTCTGGGAGGTCAAAGTTTGAGCGAGACAGAAGGGATGGAGAAGATCTAGATCGGCCCCTTACTATTCAGTTTGGTACGTTAAAAATAAAGAAAAGGAAGATAACGAAGAGGAAGCATGCATGCTGGAATATGAAGAAGGCCAAACTTCTAGAGAGGCCTACAATGGTGAAAAAGATGATGGTATGACAGACATCGGAGAGGAAATCGATCTGGAAGCAGAAAGGAGAAGAAGAGGAGTATCGTACAATACTCTGTTGAAGCAACTACATCGAGAGGGAGTTCGTGAAGTAGACTTATTGGGATAACCATCTGGGCATTCTTTCGATTACTACGTGCTGTACGGGATGCCCAAAAGGAAGAAGAGAGTGCCTCGCTCTGAAAAGTATGGATCACCTTCAAGAATAATGCCTTCTCCCACAGGTTGGGTAACTGAAGAAGAAGCATTAGAAAACAGTAAAAAGAAAATTTAGGAGACAGAAGCTCAATGCGATATGATGCACGTTGACTTATCACTGCCTCCTCCCATAGGTTGGGTAACTGAAGAAGAAGCATTAGAAAACAGTAAAAAGAAAATTTAGGAGACAGAAGCTCAATGCGATATGATGCACGTTGACTTATCACAAAAGGGTAACTCGACAGAAGACAAGCAGGAAGTGGAAATAGATG